CAGCATCGGATGCTCTGGACGCTATCACCAAAGCCAAATTAGTTGATGGTTTGCCAATAACAGTTGAGACATGCTTTCATTATCTTTGTTTATCCGCAGAAGAAATCCCTGCTGGCAGAACTGAATTTAAGTGTTGTCCACCTATTAGAGACGATAAAAATCGAGACAAGCTTTGGAAAGTAAGTAAATTATGTGTTTGTAAGATTAGAATTCTTTTTTCTTTTTTTTTTCTTTAATAAAATGGATTCATTAGTGTTATTTATTAAAAGGCATTGATAGATGGGGTAATTGATTGCATCGTGTCAGATCATTCACCTTGTACTAGTAATTTAAAGGAAGGAGGTTTTGGAAAAGCTTGGGGTGGTATTTCAACATTACAGTTTGGTTTACCAGTATTATGGACTGAAGCCAAAAGAAGAAACCTTTCCAGTTTTAATAATCTTGTAAATTGGTTATCAAGAAATCCAGCAAAACTAGTTGGATTAAATGATAGAAAAGGCGAAATTAAGGTTGGGTATGATGCTGACATTATTATCTGGAATCCAGAAGAATCCTTCAAAGTAATTAATTATTATTATTTTTGTTGCTGACAGTAAATCATTATAATTATAATTTGGAATTGTTCATATCATTAATAATTTTAATAATATTATTATTCAGATAACAGAGGATTCGATAGAATTTAAAAATAAAGTGACGCCATATTTAGGAAAAGAATTTTATGGGGTGGTTAAGAAAACAATCCTAAGAGGAAAGATTATTTATGATGATAATGAGATTACTGATATACCTTTAGGTAAATTGTTACTTTAAGAAAAATAAAGCATTCGGTCAGTTTTAAATAATTATCACGTGATTTCAGACAAAAACATTGTTATATATAGTTTTATTATCCCTCTTCTTTTTATCCTGTCAATACATATTAAATATGTTGGTTGTTTCAGTTTTCAGATAAAACACTGTTATATTGACTCGGTTGACTTCAACCATTAACGAGTCATAACATAGCAGACAAAACTTTCTTCTCTTCGAGCCAGACTTGAATTTCTATACTAATTACCATCAGAGTGTCAGCCACATTTAAAGCTCCTAATGAATCGAAAACTCGGTTCCTGAAAAACTAATAAATATATATATATACACATGTATAGTAATTCTGCACGACGAACAGCTTTTAATCAGTAAACAATACTAGAGCTTGCTGGTTGAATCGAACCAAATTCGAACCAGTAATTTTGGGATAGAATGATTCGAGCTACCAATGTTCTAATTGTACGAAACATAAACAATTCGAACCAAACGAACCATTAAAAAAACTCATTTTTTGGTAAAGATTTTCAGTGTAAAGCTGTCCCTTTTTTGAATTATATCCTCTCGTTTTTCGATTTTCTTTATTTATTAATTTATTGTTTTTCTATGAACACCAAGCATTTTAGATATGTCGTGGTTGGGGATACATTGTTTTTATAATGACTTACGATCTCACCACATCGAATTTTAGTTAAAACTGACATTTTGAGCTTAAACTTTTCTGAGGATTTGTTCAAAGATTTATTAAAATTTTATGCATAAATGTTCATTCAAATTCAATAATTGGCTTCAAGTCCGGATTCTCTGAAGGAGTTTCTGGATGCTAAGCTGCATGATATGTCATCATATCAGTGACTTTGCGTGACTGTGGCATTAAACTAATAATTGGGTGTACGTATAATTGTTAATATTTTAATTATGTCTAAACCTCCCTCAATTAATCATATAGCAATGATGTATTTGAGTTATTTACTAATTATTAATAATATATTTTGAAGATATTTTAATTTAAACTTAGAGAGTATTAATATAACATATTAACTTCCTTCATACTTTATTAAAAGAAGTCATTCTGTTTCTAAAATTTTTTTAAAAAATAAGGATAATTATTGTGAGCGGCTGAATAAAAACCTACAAACGCAAGAGTCTGAAAATATCCTATCAAAAGTTTTTCCCACCTCTTCAGCAGTAAGACGCCAGTTAAAATATCGAAAATC